CGGTCCCTCGGCGGCACCTTCGCTGGTGACCACGGCAGGGCGGGCGAGACCTGTCCGCTTGTCAGCGACGGTGACAAAAGCAGCTCCGGGGCCACAGGGACAAGCAAAGTCTGAGCTCGGCGTTTACGGGGTGCTGCGGTCAGCACTTCGCTCGAGTGGCTGCCGCCGCTGGCACAGCCGGCGAGGTAGCCGCGCTGCACGCCATCGTCGCGTGCCCAGAGACTGAGCTAAACGCCTTTACGGTGCAGCGCTTTACAGAGCGGGGGCTGCGGCGCACGGGGGCCCCTGAGAGGCCCAAGGTCACACGGCGGGTCACGTGAACCCGGTGCGGGTCCAGGCCAGGCGCTCTCACCACTGCGCGCTCCGTTCCCTGTTACCGTGAACGCCTCCCCTGTTAGCAGTGACAGCTGTGGCGACGACGCTGTCTGGGCAGTGAGCCTATGGACAGTGTTTTAAAACACCGGATGTGGCTGGACAGGGAAAACCACCAGTTCAGCGACAGGCCTTTTGGCTACCAAGCCCGGAACTGAGGTTTCTCATTCTGGCAGGCAAGAAACTCGGGTTTCATTATTATGGTTTTTGCATGTAATTTTTCTAAAATTCACGCATCGAAAAACAACTTCTTTCGTAGATACTACCATCATCTTCAATTCACATTGGTCTTCAAATTTCTCTTTGAATCCAGAGCAACTGTTTCTTCTGCCTAATGAGATCAGATTCATGACTAATAGAGTTAAGAAGTGAATTTTGGAATATACGTTTCAGAAGAAAAAGTGCTCCCCGATTTAAAGAATGAAATGAACGCGAAACTGAGAATGTCCTTACTGGCCAAAGATGCAGCCGAACTGGGTACTGACTTTTAAGATACTGAACGAAGTATGCTGATCAGCAGACGCGTGCCTGCACTCCCTAGAACAAACCACGCGTGCGGGATTTGCTGTGGCACGCGTTCCTGCGTTCGGGGAAGTGCCCGCATGTTTTCCCATAGTGAGAATTCTCCATTTCTTGAAGGACTGCTCATTGGATAGTCCCCTCCTTTACAGGATCTGCTTCAGTGTGTTTTCTTTGATTTTCCTAGCTGTGACTCAGTTCTTGGCTGACAGCTCAATTTTGAGTCTACATGAGGTTAACAAAATCGGTAAGGAGTTAGAGACAGAGCCGCGAAAATCAGCATCAAGAAGTGAGGGGGAAAATCAAACTTGTTGAAAGCAGTGGGGAGGAAACGAGCGCAGGGCATCGTGGGAATTATCAAGCGTTCCTTCGGGAAAGTACACATTGACTTTCGAAACTAACCGTAATTTTAAATATAGAATTCATCAGTCTTCTTACAGGTGTAGACAATGTGACTGTGATCATTTTGTGACATACTAAATATAAAAATGCTTGTGCAATTTCTGAGCCATAACTACTTGGGAAACTAGACAGATTACTTTGTTCAGATGTTGGAAAGCACAGGACTGTGATCCCCGGAGGAAGGGAGACAGGAGTGACGAGCCCCACGACTGCCCGATTTTCTGCCTGGAAGCACCTTCCAGTCTGCGCTACAGGGAGGGGTAACCCGAGGATTGAGCATAGTCAGGAGAAGCTGGGGCCAGGGCACTGGCCAGGCAGAGTAACCGCAGAGGAAGGTGCTTAAGGTGCTGCCGCTAATACTAACTCCTGCGTGCAGAAGGTGGACATACGTGAGGCCAAGCAAAAGACAACGGAGGAAATGTCAACTCAAAATTCCCGAGAATTCCAACAGGACTAGGAGACCTTCCCATGTGGAAGGGTCAGAAAGCAGCGTGCTCTTGGAACTCTGAGAGACTCACTTATAGAAGAGCCACAGCTGCAGTAGTGATGTTGAACTTGCCCTGGGACGTTCGTGCATGCTCATCCGCACGGTTTTCGAGAAGACTTCAGAAGATTCGGTGCTCAACAAGGAACTCTGCTGCCTGCCAGGAAAACCTAGCCCCCGGCAATGCGCACCTCGAGCTGTCCGGCATCTATAAGGTGTGTGCAGCACAGGCCCCTGTGGCCTCCCCACGTGGTGCTGGCACGTCATGGAGCAGTGGCTAGAGCTCTACCATGGAGCTTTCTAGTGAAAAAGGCAGAAATGCCGTGGCCTTTTATGACCCAGCGTTGGAAGTGACATCGTATCAGTGTCATTGTCAAAGCAGGCACAAGCCTTTTAACTTCAAGGAGGGGTGGCGGGAGGGTGGGGAACGGACATCACCTCTTAATAATAAGTGTTCCCAAGTATTTGTGGCTAAACTTTTAAATAGCCACATTCTCTTGAAAATAAACTTTGCTTCCTCTCACATGAAATATATGCTGTTCTGTCCCCATGCGAACAAGTTTCATGCCAACAGAGCAACAAGCTCAAGTTTATTACCCACAAGCTTGAAAGCTAAATTAGGTCCTGGCACAGGAGGCCCCCTGGGCCCTTCCTTTGTTACATTTTTTATTTGAGGGCTTATGAAGGAAAGAGACAGGGTTTCTGGCTCCCACACACCCAAGGCGCAGGAAAAATTCAATCGACACTCCCCTTAAGAAGTGGGCATGTGGGAAGCACACGGGGCAGCCAAGCGTCGGTAGTAATCACGAGACCTATCCCCAGGCCTTTGATTTGAACCCAGTCTTCCTCCATGGGAAGTGGTGGAAGACTTTATATTTGTCCTTCAAAAACATGGATTAAATACGTAATACCACAGGATCTCACTTATAGGCGCAATCTAAAGAATCAAACAAGCAAAACAGGAACACTCAGATGCGGAGAACACGTTTTGTTGGTTGCCAAATGGGAGGGGTACAAATTGGTAGTCACAAAATTGTCACGGGGATGTAAAGTACAGCATAGGGAATATAGGTAATAATACTGTAGTAACTATGGTGCCAGGCGGGCACTGGATTTATTGGGGTGATCACTTTACAAGTTATATAACTGTCTAATCACTATATCGTACACCTGAAACTACTATAAAATAATATTTAACGTCAACTACAATTGAAAAATAAAAATATATCCAAAATAAAAATAAATTTATACAAGTTGATTTGTTTGTTTGCTGGTTTGTACATTTTAAAAGATAAATGACCCTAGAAGCCAAATAATGTTAATGTGTTAATGTTAATCTTTCTGATGTAACAGCTGATTATACTATTAATTAGAGCATTAATTATCCTATGGTACTTCAAGGAATTAACATTCCATCAACTAATTTACAGTAAAACCCAGATTGAAATGGCAGCATTAGTGTCTGCGTATCTCACACAGAGAACTGTTACACACTGGGCAAAGTATATTTTAAAATACTAAATTGATTTTTTTATAAGAAACGTTCGATTTAAAAAATCATAAAGCCCCACTATAATTTAGGTACTATATCTTAAGTCAATACCAATAATTAGTTTTTTCTATTAGCTACACGATGTAACCTTTGATGTCTGTGTTTTTTAACAACATTAATATTTATATGAATAGCTAAAAAAAAAAATCTTTTAAAAGACTTATGTGGCTTTTTAAAACAATTTCCCAAAAGAGATGAACTGACGTTGATTCTGACTTTGTTAAAATAGTAATTAGGAACTTTATAATATAGACACTGCCTGTTCTTTCAAGATTTTTCTATCTCACCATGAAATGTGTGTATGTATATATATATTTATATAGGTCTATCATACCAACCTTTTAATAATTTAAATTTAGATAATTCAAGTAATTGAACATGCAAATGCTAGAATTCAATAGCATTTGAAGAAGCAAGCTACAGTAGAACAGAACTACATAAGATAAAACCCAAGTCACTTTAAATCAATGTTTATAATTACCAGCCATAATTGACTGAGATCGGCAAATACTTAGCTCTATTAACAAAACATAATATGGTTTAGCTTGTGCATGAAATTACAAAGTCTCTTGAGATTTGACTGATTCAAACAGTCTTGAATATTCAATTAAAGACATATTTACTATGTAAATCATTTTTATAGCTAAGACATATTAAAACACAGGTTTTTAAAAAACACAGTATGTGATACGGTTGAATATTTAACGGATAAGGTAAAACCTCAATATAGCATTTCCAAATTTTAGAATGCCTATGTGCAAATATGTTTACTAGTAAGCTAGCAAGTAAAAATAATATGAAACATTATTTAAGGATAAACTGGAACAGGTTAATAATGAAGACTCTCACTAAAATATAATCAGGATTCAGTAACTTATTTTGCCAAATGCCACATTTATTGAGTAAAACAACCCTTGCGCCCAGCCTCATGGAGCTTCTCTAATACTCAAGAGAAAATTAGAGGACACAGACATTGTATTTCTAATCGGCGGATATCTAGTGAAGAAAAGCTGGCAGAAGGATCAGAGGGTGAAGCATGAATGTGGGCTTCTGTTTTAGATGGGGTGGTAGATGGGGGGGACAGGCAGGGAGCACCTCTCCCAAGAGGAGGTGAGGGAAAACCGTGCAGGTCTGGAGGATGCCCTGGCACGCGGGAGCCCACAGCCTCTGAGAGGGAGCCAAGGGCTGTTCCATGAACAGCAGGGCCCAGAGCGACATGGAGCAAGGGAGGAGGAGGCCAGAAGGAAAAGCGGTTGGCAGGAGGCTTTCCA